ACCGCCATCCCGCCCCGATCCAGGTGCCTTCGGAGATCATCCGTGAAGGCGACTAGTGCTGTCTCAGTTCTGTGGCCCGGGCGGAAGCCGGACTGAAACGGATCTAGCGTGGAAGTGTCATCCAGAAAGGCCTGCAACTGTATCGCCACCGCCCTCTCTATTAGTTTGCCCAAATAGGGCAAATTGGAAACAGGCCGATAGTGATGGTGACTCAATGCAAAAATCATAAGGATCCATGAAGATCCGTGCTTCAGAACCATGTTTTTGCAGCATGGTGTTGCCACAGAGCTGTGGCACCGTGATTTCTGTGGTGCAGGCTGTGGCCATGGACATGATATGGGATTTCATGGTATGTTTGTGTTGTCCCAACAGAAAAAAACCAGGCATCCTTGAGGATCCGTGCTTCAGAATCATGTTTTTGCAGAATGGTGTCACCACAAAGCCGTGGATCTGTGATTTTTGTGGTGCAAGCTGTGGACGTGGACGTGTCATGTGATTTGATGGTGTGGAGTGACCCAATTGAAAAACCATGAGGATCCATGAGGATCCGTGCTTTGGAACCATGTTTTTGCAGTTTTCTGGTGCCACGAATTCGTGGTGGCATGATTTTTGGAGTGCTGCCTATAGTCTAAGACATGGTCTGCAGTATGATGGTGGTTTTATTTTGTTTCAGCATAAAAATCATATGAATTCATGAGGATCCGTGCTTTGGAATTATGTGTTTGAGCAGTTGTGGTGCCACAAATCTGTGGATGCGTGATTTTTGTGGTGCCCCCTATAGATTAACACACGGCCTACAATATGATGGTAGTTTTATTTCGTTTCAATGTAAAAATCATATGAATTCATGAGGATCCATGTAGATCCGACTTTTACCTTTTCCCCTATACACGTACCCAGACCAACCCCCTCACAAACTTTCCCCCCTAACTTTGGCAAAGTTCCGATGGGGATGGGGGACAGTGGGAGATGGGGGCAGGCTTTATTCAGCCACCTCTCTGAGTATCCTCTAGGCCCCCAGTAGGGGTCAGTCACCAGAGGTCACCATGACTTCCAGTCACCAGAGATCACTTTGACTTCCAGGTGCGCGCACACACACACAAATACAAAGAAATAGTTGCAGAATAGTTGCAGAAGTCATTTTTCTTCACTGTCATCTCTTGCCATGGAGTTGGCTCAATAATCAGCTCTAGCCCTCGTTGAGTCATGCATGCTCTGTGGGTTCTCCACATTCTAGCCATTTCCCTGTTGATCTATTGCACAAAGCTCCCAAGAGCCAATTGGGCTCCAGCGGATGGGAGAGGGTGACTAGGAGCAACCGTGTCAACTCTCCAGGGCAGCTTCTTATTTCAGTTTGGATTTTGACAGGAGTGCCAGCTGCATCAGAGGGGAATTCCCGGAGGGCTGCCATGAAACCATAGGTATCAGCCTCCAAGGGTGGAGCAATTCAACTGGCTTCCTACTCTGCAGAAGGAGCTCCAATAAATCTAAACTTTGCCAGATGGTCTGTATATGATCCCTCTTTTACAAGCTACTGGCTTGAAATCAGTTGAAGTAGCCACCCTTTCACACAGCAGACTGAAGAGTTTGCTCCCTTATAATAAGGGAGATATTTTCCATGGAGAAAAATGCATGTAGATTATCATGTCTGATAAGCAATGTGTGTTTCTCCCACAACAAGTATATGGACTGGACTAGCAAAAAACAAATGTACGAAATGCCCCCATGTTTGGCCTACAACCCAGAAACAAACAGATTTGTGGTGAGTTATTCAGCCTTTTCTGAAAATGCCAAAGGGTGGTTAAATTTAGTGAGCAATGCCAGTAAATATGGGGAACATTTGAATTAAGCTTTCCACATGTTGGAAGAATGGCATCTTCTGAGCTCTTACAGGAACATATGAGAAAGAATGCAGCTTGCCTCCTAACAAGGTTAAATAAATAGTGCTTCCTTGGCTTGGCTTCTAGAAGTGAAATATTTGTGTAGCACTTTCTACGATGGAAACCAAAGGAGTGTGATATGGAAATAACATCAAGACAGAAATATTCTGATCCTTTTGGGAGGACTAGAATGTATTTGCTCCTCTTGCTCCTCAGAAGCCCTATTGGCAAAGATGCTTACTACACATCAGTGCTAATATGGAGTACCATCTATAGTGCCATGCTAAATACAGTTATGCTTTTCTAAATCCATCAAAGCCAACAGGCTTAGAAGGGTATAATTCTGTTTAGGCTGGCACTGTCCGGTACACAACTGATCTGCACTATCTCCTGCACTTAAAAGATTTGGAAACTGATTTGGACATATAGCGCTCCCATGCTCAACCTTATTTTAGCTGTTCAAAAGATGACAAATTTTAACTTACTATGGAAAAATAATCTGGACAAATGGAAATCTAATGCACTGTATCCAGAGCCTGAAGCCAGAACTCATGGTGCTCTGTTGCTTAGCTGGAACTATTTCCCTGCTTCTAATTTGTTTACCCACCACAATTGCACTGTTCCTGTATTTCAAAAAGGCACAATTACAAATAATTTAAAACAAAATTGAAGGAGGTAGACAGACCAACCTATCCCACTCACCCATCTCACATATAAAATGAAAATATACCTTAAAAGCTAAAACAAGGAAGGCTAATTACAAGGAAAGGGTTGATGACCTCACCGTTTGAGATGCCCTGCACTACTGCCAGGTTGATATGACCCCTGAACAGTGTTGCAGTATAAATGATCTCTTTTGAACCAGAGGAAAAAATATCTTGTTTAATATATTCCACTAAGATCCTAATCTCTTAAATGAAGACAAAACTTGTATCTACATGAAGAATCGAGCCCCAGCAAAGCCGGACTTATTCCAAGAGAGTGATTGTTTAACTTAAAGAGATAAACAGCAGAGTTTGTTACTTACCGTAAACCACACTGCTGGCATTATTTCTTGCAATGCTTCCTTACTGACAACCTCTCCATTCCTCTAATCCCCCCCATACCCATCTGCCTTTTCTTTTCATTGCAGCAGCTGTTGTTGCCATGCTGTCCTCTCTGTTGCTATGATTTAAAAGGCTTGTGTACTTGCCAGACCATAATTTTCTTTCAAATGAACAGTAATAATGTTCATTCCACATATACAGGTAGTACATTCTGTTTACTGAATCAACAAAAACATTTAACTGGAAACAAAATATACTGCTGTAGAAGTTACCATTTGCACAGTGGGCACAGTATTTTCCTAAGATACATTGCTTGCTGAGGTAACCTTTAAAGGGGCTATGCCGATTCACAAGAGAGCATGCTTGGCTCTTACAAAAACAAAGTTGGTCTAACAGAAACTGGCACACTTCTTTCTTATTTAGAGCTCACCCAATACTCTCCCTCTGTCTCACTGGTGCCGGAGCTCCCGTTTCTAAAATGAGAATAGTGGCCTATCCCAGGGACTGTAAATTAAACTGCTATAGAAAGTCATTAATGTAATAATTACATCATCCAAGAAAGACATAAGGTGAACATGAGCAGAGGTCATTGCCCTCCCTTGGAGATGGTCACTCTGTCAGAGGTATCCTATTCATTCCAGAGGGTAGCCACGTCTCACCAAAAACAGAAAGGAGTCTCATAGAACCTTAAAGACTAACAGATTTACAGGGTAATTCTGAACAGTTACAACATTCTAAATCCACTTAAGTGGTTTAGAACAGTATAACTTTGTTGAGGACTGCATAAGCCTTTGTAGACTAGTGTTCACTTCATCAGCTGGATATATTGTGTCCTCAGCTGGCAGATAATATTCATATATGTCAGCTTCTGAACTTTTAATTGAAAGAAAAAACCCTTCTGAAAGTATAGAAGAACTGCTGCACCTGCACTAAGGGCTGGCAACTGCGGGTTGGGAAATACCTAGAGATTTTGGGGGTGAAGACTGGGGAAGGCAGGGTTTGGGGAGGAGAAGCATTTTCTCCAGAGGAACTGATCTTTGTAACATGGAGGTCAGTTGTAATACCAGAGATCGCTGGCCACCACCTGGAGACTGGCAAACCTACTAGCTGCTCCTTTTCCTGCCACTCATAACAAATGGATTGTCTGAACCATGCGCACCAAGATTTACTAAAGTCTTACAGTATTCAAGTAAGTGCTTAACAGAATGGCAGCCTTTAACTGAAAACAAAATGACAGCATCTGGTGCATAGTGAATAATTCAGACAATCTATTTGCTACAAGCAAGAAGCTGTATACATGGGATGGGAGGTGTGGTGAGATAAAATATTTAGAAAACAAATAAAAATAAATGAACCAAAGAATTCTTGATATAAAGTAAAGGATAAGATTTAGAGTGGTTCAGCCCAATATTTCCCAGAAATTATATAGGACTTCTGTGGTTTTATTGGTATTACCTGGATTGAGCCTGAAAGATACAGTGTGTTAGAAATTAAACTATAATATTAACTAAGAGGTTTATAATTTGTCTTTATTAATTAATACATACCTGCCCTTACCTATGTTTGCATAGAGCATAGAGGAGACAATGTTAGAAGTTCAAACTGAGTTTATTCTGAGACACCTGGTATTAAGGGTCTTTAAACTAAGAAACTTTTTTGATGCCCAGGAATGAAACAAGTGGGCAGCATAACAAAGAGTGTCTCTGACTATGTACAGAAAGCATTTCACAAAAGCTAGTTTCAGCCTCCTATACAATTCAGATTTGAAGTATTTCGGGTCAAAACGCATTTGTTCCAAAAATACTCTGTAATATCATCTGAGACATGGTGAATCGGTGTGAGCTCAATCATCATTGTACTCGATTACAAGCAGGTCCATGGGAGTTATTCCTGAACCTCCGAATACCTCCGAATTAAGGCCTCCCTTGCATTGCCCTTTTAAACGTCTCCTCGGATGCCTGTGTTACCCTTTTAAGAGCCAGTCTAGGCACAGGCTTAGAGTTCTCTCGACCTCTTGGGCTAAGCTGTAAAACCCAGCGCGCAAGGGACGGGTGAAAGACAAGCCTGGGTGAGTACGGCTGAGGTTGCCGATAAACTTCTATCCAAGGAGGCAAATGAGGGTCCGGAGGAAAACGGGGTCTGCTGGAAGTGACTCTTCCCAGTCCCTCACCTTGCAGAATCGTTTAAGGAAGTTCTTCGGTTAAACGCTTAGACCTGAATCCCGCCTCCTTTGCGAATTTCCTGGTGAATTAGGAGGTGACAATTTTGTTTTGGCCCCAGCATGACCCCTCCCCCTTTAAGAGTTGTACGAAATTGTGGTGGAAATCAAGTGTGCAAATTGTGGTGACATAATTTTTAATCTCGATTTTAGTCCAGTAGCACTTTAGAGACCAACAAGATTTTCAGGATATAGACTTTGGAGAGTCAAATCTCCTTTTGTCAGATGGTTTGTTGGTCTCTAAAGTCCTGCTGGAGTCTAATCCGGTGGCTCTAAACCAAACTTTATTCTGAACTTTGGCCGCCTTCTGCTGTGGAAGTCTATTGTGGACTCTTATTCAAGACTAAGATCGAGCACTGGTGAAATATTAACTTGTATTGGACCACTTGCTTTAAAGTATTACAAGTTCGCAAAACTCTCCAAGTTCAATGGGATGACAGCAGAGAAAAAGAAAGGCACATCTTTGCTCCTAAAGGGATTTGTGTGACTTTGGCATGTGTACATAGTACAGAGAGACCTATTTAATTGTTTGACTGTAGTACCTCAGTGGCTAGGCTGAATCTGAAAAACAAGAGTATTCCCACCTTTTTTTTCCCTAAACAGCCGTTTTGTTCAGCCCTTTCCCTTATTTCTCCATCTTCTACTGGAGTTAAAAGGGACCTGGTGAATTACGTTGTTCACCTTTCACCCTGAAACTCATGTATATCTGTTTGAGTGTGATAACTAAACAGCTTCCCATGTCTAGTTCAACAAAATGTAAGCTCCTTAAACAACATATAGAGCATTACTATGGATAGTGTAGTTATTTACTAATGTTGTTCACAGACTGTCTTGGCACACTGCCATGCCACTTTTCATAACTTGCCTTCTGCAGCTGAATTTTACTAATTAAAACTCGAATGTACACTCTCTCTTTGTTGCTGATCTCAGTGTATTTCCGTCTTTTATTTCCTAGAACTTTTGTAAACTACTATCAGAAATGGCATGCATTTGAACGTGATGGGTAGCGTGTATGCGACATAGTTCTAGATTTAGCTTCCTCTCTCTATATAAATAGAATCTGCATAAGCCAAAGGTGAGTGCCTATTCCTTGCATAGCAGCATATTGCTTTCAAAGGTTGCATGATTTAAATGCCTCATGACACTTTGTGTTACTAATATATCAGGGCTGATTCTCCGGTCATCTCTGCTTCTCTTTCCAACTAGCTGATATGTCATAGATATTTGAAAGGATATTTATGCTGTGCAGCTATATACATATATTTTAAAAGTTTTCTCTTAAAAATAGAAGCATACCTTCAGGATAATTTTGTCTATCCAAGATATCTTCAAATAAAAATAAATAAACTGGTGATCTGTCATGCAAAGTCAGGAGAAATGCATCTTTAGTTAATGAAACTAATTTCATTGCATTTCAGGGACCTAGAATTCTTCTTTTGCTATAGGTGCTAATATCTTGTATATCCCACCTCTTATAGAGGTCAATTAGTTCAGCCATACATCTGCAACTTTCTGTTGCATCTACTTGTCCTGCACTAGATTCTGTATGAATCCCACCTTGTCTATTTTAACAACAGTTGGTACCGGCTATCACTAACTGAGTGAACTGAGTACTCTTTTTATTGTATCTTGTTTTAAATTAGCATCTCTTTGTAATCTCCTGCCTTTCTGTCTTGAATACAAAAGCATTGACTGAATGGATGCACACTTCAATGGGTCTGATGAAGGGATCTTCTCTGACTCAAGAAAGTTTATGCTGGAATAAACGTCCTGTAATAATTTAAAGACTAACAACATGTGTGGCAGAGCATGAACTTTTGTGAGTCACTTCTTCAGATAAATTATTTTCCATTTGTTTCAGTTCAGTATGCACAAGAACTTTAATTCTACTTACATCTCCTGTAGAGTAAAGTAAGATAGAATTGTGCCATTAAATGATACGGTGTATGTGAATAGAATTATTTCTGGTTGTAAATTTGTAGGGGTGGCTACAGTTTCAGAATCTGTTTACTCAGAAGCAAGTTCCAGATATATGTACAGGAATGACCAGGATTGCCAGCTTTGGGTTGGGAAATACCTGGAGATTTGGGAGGTAGAGCCTGGGGAGAGTGGGATATAGGGAGGGGAGGGACCTCAGCAGAGTATAATGCCAGAGAGTCCACCCTCCAAAGCAGCCATTTTCTCCAGAAGAACTGATCGCCGCCTGGAGATCAGTTGTAATTCCTGGAGAACTCCAGGCCCGCCCAACCTAGGAATTACCCATTGTTAAGTGTGTTTAGAATGGTGGTGAGTTATGTATTTCAAACATCTACAATTAGAATAGTCTCTTCCCTGACTTTGCTGCTAAAAAATAATTTTTTGAACAGCAGCTCTGAGCATAATGCTGCTTTTTAGCAATTGAAATCTAGCACCATTAGAAGGCACAGGTTGCAGATGCTTCTCTAAACCAAGACAGTTAAGCCTTGGACTCTTTCCCATTGCTAGAGCAGTTCTGAAGTATATTATGGCAAAGTGCTAATATTTATGCTAAAATTATTTTTAACATGATTTCTTGTTTGATTGGTTTTGTGTTCACATATTTTAGCATGTTTGACTATTTCCCACTTTCTTCTACATGGTGTGCCTTTTCCAATATGTTGTTCACCTTCTGTGTTTGCTAATTCATTTCCTGTTAACATCCTTTCAGATATTGGAAGCAGAACCTTGCCCTGTAACCTCACAGTGCTTTGCTGGATTTTCCTGCATTCACATTAACACACAAAGCTGCCTTATGCTGCATGAGACCATTGGTCCATCAAAGACAGTACTGATTACTCAGACTTGCAGTGGCTCTCCAAGGTCTCAGGTTCAGGTCTTTCGTGTCACATGCAACCTGATCCTCACTGGAGGAGCTGCTGGGGATTAAACCTAGAACCTTCTGCACACCAAACAAATGCTCTGTCCACTGAACCACAGCTCCTTCCCACTGCAGTAAACTTAGAAGGGTGCTCTGCTTAGGATCACACTTCCAGTTGTCTGTATTCTTATGTGTCTGTGACTACATTCTACAGGTGTGGTGTTAGTGTGCAGTCCTGATTTTTTTTAATGTTGTTCAATTCTTATTCCAGTTCCCTTAGAAATTAAGGCTTGCAACTCTTTCTGTGTTGAATGTCTTCTGTTGACTGTCTTCTGCTTTATAGGGAACCTAACTCCCGCAGCATCCCAGCTGGAGGGCTGATGATTATTCAGAGAGTGGTGTTGAATTCACGTCCCGGTATGTCTCTACTTGTCTGAGGACAGTAGGGAGTTTGGTGTGGTTGCACAAGATGGCAAACTGTCAGACTTCTGCAGAGAGCTTTTTACAGTAATGTTAGGAGGCTTGCGATGAAACCTTTTCACTTCCTACAAAGGTTTTCAGCAAGACATACACAGCAGGCATTCTTCTGAAAGAACTGTATTGGTGAGAATTATTGTTTTGCTTGCTTGTGTAAGAGTAGAAGAGCATAAACAGTCACTTTAATTAGTATCATCTGTGAAATCAAGTATAAGGAAGTTGTCCAAAGGAAGCAAATATGTTGCAAGTGGTATAAATTATACTTGCCTCAGTGATTCACATTAGTTAATCTAGGTACAGATTCTGTACCAGGAACTCATTCTTCATTTTGAACTACAGAGTCTGAGATAATTACACATTTCCTTTTGGCCAGGTGTTAATCTGTCTTTCCTATCAGGTTTCTAAAGCAGGTGGACATCTTCATTTTAAAGCTGATCCATATCTTTTTCAACTTTTTACCCAAACATTTTTGAGATTATTGAAAAATGAGTATGAAAATAATTCTCAAGCCCCGTTCTAAAACTGATTAGTTGCAAATGTCCAAAAGTTCCCCTCCTTTCACCCTGAAGCACAGTTAGAATCTCAGCCCATTTGAATGCATTTTGCACATTGCTCAATTGAGAAGTTATTTCAGAAATCTCTATTTAGAATATTTTCTGTATGACTTGTTTTTGAAATCTGAGGGTAGTCTAATCTACTTCAAAGTCAACTGCAAGCACTTTACTGAGAAGTACACTGCACTTAGTTCAGTGGCAAAGATCTGTATCTTTTCTGGCTCCAGAAAATAGACTAAACATTAAACGGAAGTGTTACTGCAAAACTGAGCAGTGTCATTCCAGTACTGAATTCCAAACAGAGAGTAGACTTGACTGGGGCATGAACCTGGAGCCCAGGTTCAAGGCAAAAATATGGCAGATGGCCTGTGTTGAGACATGTACTTCAGTAACAAAAACAAAGACTCCAAATGGCTTCTATTTAGATAAGGTATCCAATGCAGCAGGGATGGTAGGAGAAGCAGGAAGGTATGCAAACATTCAGCACTGATAAAAGGAAAGTCATAGAAATGAAAGTTAAAGAGGCAAGAGGGAGGGTATTGTTGAGAATGGGGTGAGGTAGGCCCTAGGATGTGTCATTTTTGCAGAAGAGATTGTGAAAAAAGAAGCTTTATATTTTTGTAGTAGTGTGGTCTCTAGTGGGTCATATGACCCTCCAGCAACAAAGCGGACAAATTCAAAGCAAATATCAAAATTGCAGTCTCTGATTTATGGAGTAAATAATGCTAGTTAAACCTGAAATCTGGTTGATTCTAGGCATCAATGGTGTACCAACTACAGAAAACTTCCGTATGGAGGAAGCCACTCTACTGGATAAAATGTCAGAGGGTCAAGTAAAAGTTCGCACACTTTATCTATCTGTGGATCCCTATATGGTAGGTGCTACTTACTTAAATCAAGTTCATTCTGCCTTGTAGCTATAAGATTATTTCAGAATGGGCTTTGTGACCCAGAGGAAGGGCTGGTGTGTTACAGTGCAATTCTATGTAGAGGTATTCTAGTTTAGGCTTGCTAAACTTCAGTGAACTTAGATTGGAGTAACTCTGCATATGATTGCACTGTTTTTGTTACAAAACAAAGTCTTATGACTGAAGATTTATTTATTTATTGTGCCATAAATTTTGAAGACAGGAGCTACTTCATCAGATGCACGCAGCATCGTTTCACATGACCTATATATACACCTAGACATAGAGAAACTACTGTGAACACTAGAGCAAAATGCTATAAAATGCAAGAAGTACAATCTGTGACATTTCTATACAAAGCTTTAATGTGTACAAGATAAATAAAGTGACTATTCACAACAGGTTTTTTTTCTTTGTCGCAAAAATTTTTACTAGCTATTTTTCTTTTACTAGCCTATTTGACTGATAAAACAAATCTTAGAAATTTTATTTGAGCACTTTGACTTCACGAAGTCTTCTCTTACAAGATGGACAGTGTGGTGTAGTGGTTAAGAGCAGCAGACTCTTATCTGAAAGATTGGGTTTGATTCCCCACTTCTCCACATGCAGTCATCTAGGTAACCTTGGGTCAGCCACAGTTCTCTTAGAACTCTCTCAGCCCCGCCTATCTCACAGGGTGTCTGTTATGGGGAAAGGAAGGGAAGGTGATTGGAAGCTGCTCTGAGACCCCTCCAGGTAGTGAAAAGCAGGGGTATAAAAACCTACTCTCCTCCTCCTCATCCAAAAAGACTAGCAAATTTTTGAAAGAAATACATGCTGAAATTCAGAAAATTTTGAATCTAAAATTTGCCATGGAACTTGAGACTATGTTATTAGGAATTTTACCAGACAATGTAAATAGATCAACACATGAACTGTTTGGATATATGCTAATTGTGGCACGAGTAGTATTCGCAACTAAGTGAAAAACTGAAGTTTGCCCTAATCTTGAGAACTGGAAAGATAAAATGGAAGAATATGCTATTATGGCAAAACTCACTTGTTATATAAATAAAAGACTGATTATTGAATCTGAGAACAACTGGAGAGCTTTTTACAGCTATTATAAATAAAGCTGTAAGAGGAGACATATAATCCAGGGATTTAAACTGATTAATAATTTTAAAATCAATATAATTATAGCAATTATTGCAGTTATTGTAATTAATTCCTTTCAGTTATATATCTAATTAGTTATTACATGAATTCATATATGGAAATAGTAGTATAGGCTGCTTACGTTATAACTATTTGTTACAATTTTTCCTGTTTTATAATTTCATATTAGTGATTTGCCCTTAACATGTGTTAAAATTTGATACTTCGGCTTCTTTTTTTCTATTTCCCCCCTTACCCCTTCTTTTATTTTGTATCCCTATCAAAAGGGGTGGAAGGGGTGTATATTGAGGGTGCATACATTGTTAATGCAGAAATACAAATATCCATGTAGTGCAGAGCAATGAATGAAAAATGTCATAAAAGGAGAAGGAGGGGGTTGGTGGTGGTTCAGATACTCAAAGTAATTCTGTTTTTATCTTTTAGCGTTGTCGTATGAATGAAAACTCTGGTTCTGATTATATTCTGCCCTGGAAGCTGTCTGAAGTTGCCAGTGGTGGAGGAATTGGCATCGTGGAAGAAACCAAAGATGCCTGTTTCTCCATAGGAGATTTTGTAACTTCCTTTAACTGGCCGTGGCAGACTAAGACCATTTTAGATGGAAAGCAAATTGAAAAGGTGTGTATAGGAATGATTCCTAATCTTTCCATTTCATTCTTATGGAAAATTGCTATATTGAGTAATTTTACTATAGCCTGTGATTACCCTTAAAAGGTCCTTTTTATCATTTAGTTAGGTAGAAATAAAATATCAAAGGGTACAATCATACAGGTCATTTGCTTCCCAGGGTAGCACGCAAAGCTTCCTCATGGAAATCTTCTCCTTCCGTACAAGCCGCTGCATCACAGTACTGAGGCCTGGTCCTTTTATAGTTTTCCTGCAAGTACTCACAAGCTCATTCTCCTGTGTTCCATTGGACATAGTTCTGTTTCATCTCCTCCCAGGAGCTTGTGACATGAGGGACATGAGGGACCATGCACATAATTAGAGGGGATCTGTAGAATGCCCTGTTTAACTCTGCAGACTATTCTGTGTGTAGGAATTGTGACGGAATGCATCCTAAAAAAATGGTTAATGTCATTAAATGAAAAGAACAAGTGAACACAGTGTGGTGGTAGTAGGCTATATCTGATTGCAGAGGGAGAGCTGCATGGAGGTCAAGGCATCCTGACTTGGTTGGCAGTGTTTGCTAAAAGCATGTTAGAATTTTAAGCAATTTGTCTCTGTTCAGATTGATCCACATCTTGTAGATGGGCATCTTTCCTACTTTTTGGGTGCAGCTGGCTTGACTGGACTGACCTCTTTGTTAGGAATAAGGGAGAAAGGACATGTGACTCGGGGTGCTAACCAAACCATGGTTGTCAGTGGAGCTGCTGGTGCCTGTGGCTCATTGGCTGGGCAGGTAAGCATGTTAACACCTTTTGATGTGGGCCGTTTCAGCGGTGGGTGTACTTCATGTCATTCTGTGGTGCTGGATGGAGTGGTACTTCAGTGGCTTTGTTGCTTCTAGAATAGCATAAGAATTCCATTTAAAAGGAGAACATCCAACATATCTATATCCAACATATCTGCTTCATCTATGGGTGGCCCTCTGAGGAAGCATATTATTATTTCCATCTTCCAGGTGCAAAACTGAAGTTGATTGATCTAGTTGTAGGGTTGCCATTATCTAGGTGGGGTCTGGAGTTCTTCCAGAATTACAGTTGATCTCCATACGACAGAGATTAGTTCCTCTGTATGAAATGGCATCTTTGGAGAGTAGACTCTATGTAATCATGTACCGTCTGAGCTTCTGCCCTTCCCCGATCTACGCCCTCCAAATGCTCCATCCCCCAAATCTCCAGGGATTTCCCAAGACGGAGACAGCAGCTCTACCTAGCTGACATGTTTTTTTTTGGGGGGGGGGTCCCTTTATGTTTGTCCGTGGAAGATGTGAAGTCCCAGCTGGGATATAATAATAATAATAATAATAATAATAATAATAATAATAATAAACATACAAACATATACAACTGCTAA